CAAGAAAGTTATTTTTTGTTACGTCCTATGTAGGAAAACTCTGATTCTACATTTACAGTTTGTTAATTCTTGTATTCTAACTATTCTTCTTTAATGCTCCTCCTAGGTGTTTCCTGAGCCACATGAGAAAGCCTTTTGTTACCCCGAGCGGGACACCAAAAGATGTCGCTAGAGTGAGTAGAGCAATATTGAACTAACAAGTGGACAGTCACTTGAATCTATAAAAAAAACACTTTATGCCCGGAAAACTTAGTATAAAATCTACGACATTTTATCTGGCACACACTGAACTGAAATTTAACAACCATCATAATAAACACAGCCACAGTAGTAATACGTTCATATGTAACAGATAAGTCATGTTACATAATGTTCCTGTAGACCAACTAGTTAATTACAGTCTTATAATATGTATAGGCTTATTTCAGTTAAAACTTAATGACACAGTGCTATATGTAAGACAATATTTTGAGATGAATTCATCACTTTCTAATCTGTTCTATATTAACATTAACATAGTATTAACATTTTCCCCTTTTGTTTACTAGGGTCTTTCATGTGTCCTAAAATAGGTGCTACTTCGTTCCATTTATACGCTTTGGATACTTATTTGATAAACAAAGACTAAGCTGAAGTGTTGGTTTACAGGAATTTGACTGATTCTATGATTTCATCATGTGCTGACATCGGTTATAAAACCATTGGAAAGGTGGGAGTTTCCACCTAGTCTGGAACTCATCATCAGAACGCACCCTGTAGGGTTCGAACCTGGGACCTCCTAGTTACAAGACAAACCCCTAGACCATTAACCCACCAGCTGAAATCGTGATCGCTGGTGCACACCGGGTCGGGTGTGCAGACTGTTGCTCATTGATGATATTTTCTTATGCAAGCACTTTGTGGTGAACTGGCAAAAGTCAGAATTGCCATGGGATCCCAGTGGCTCGATGGTGAAGTAACCAAACTGACATCGGTTCGAAGTCTAATGGGTCCGTGATGCCGAAAGTCTCAAAATAGGTGAAAACAGTTGTCCATTATTCCCATTTTTTGCAATGGTTTTCTAACCGATGTCAGCTCATGATCTAATCCTGAAAATATTTCGTTATTGACGAATCTCTTTCCGCTGAATTTCGTTATTCTTTTTGAGGCCGGTCGAACTTTGTTGTACAGGAGTCGGTTGATATATGCATAATAAGAAGAGAGAGAGAGGGAGAGAGGGGTTATTGATTGAAACTTTACTCGTCGAATCAGCACCAGACGCACGTGGCAGAAATAGAGATGAGACAGAAAAGATTAAACATATGGTAAGCAAATTAAAAAGCCTAATAGACGCCCACTAAATTTTGCAAGAACCATCCTCATCAAATTACCAATCCATTTCGTACCACTGCTGTGATTTTCATGGAGAAACTGACTTTATATAAATAATAATCGCTATCATTTAATCCTAAGTTATGCTCTATGGGAACGTTAGTGGTTTAATCTTATTTCAAAAAGTTATAATTCCATTTAGTTTTCGGAACCGAGTCAGGGGTTAGTTAGTCAGTTCGCGAGAAGTTAGTCACCCGGAAATGATTTTAAAAGTATCATGCTATAAGAAACTCTATATGCATGACGATGGATGGTATCAACTAGTTTTCTCAGTGAATTAAACGAGGTTGGGTTCAGTCACTGGACCAACTGTTTGAAAATCAAGCAGTTAAATCAATAAGCCATACCACCCCTCACCACAATAGAACTTACTGAATAGGTGAAAAATATATCAGATTAGGTCTGATCGCGTTTCCCGAAATTCTAATAATGAAATATTAATATTACTTTATGTTGTAATGTCATGTTTAGAGTAAGCTTCATAGCACCAGAACATTATAAACTATACAAGTCAGCAGTGATTTCTGAAACACTAGTTAATTAATCATATAACGTGTGTAAATATTTTTTTCTAAAATAAAGCATATATAAATGGATGTAGCATGTAACATTTTTTATTCAGCCAAATCGTCGGAAGCCAGGAAACAAACTAATAATTGGCTTCATATTGAATTTGCGAGAAAATAATTAATCATTTCCAGTGAATGAACGCATTCAGACCGAAATGTTCGCCTTGTCAGTGTACATAAAACTTTAACTTACATAAATGTGACTGTAACCTGTAATTTAGACTGTTTAAAATACATTAATCTCCTAAAGGTGACGGAAAATATGAAATAATAACAAACGATAAGTTGAGAAAATTGATGCAGAACACTTTAAACAAGCTGCAGCTCTTATTTTAAACACTATTGGTTGTGGTTCTTCGTATGCGTCGGTGGCACAGTGGTTGGGATGCTCGCCGACCATGCACATGATCCGGGGTTCGATCCCCGGCCCACGCAATCCTTCAACTCACAAAGCCAGTAATCAGACTGGTAAAGAAAGAAGGTTGGGCATGAGGATAGCAACCCCATCCTGTAAAAATAAACACTGCTACAGAAACTTCGAGTCTTCTAGCTTGAAGCTCTATGTTCCGCTGGGAACGTGAAGGAATAATAAATAAATAATAAGGTTATGGTTCTTCAACTAAAAGACGAAGTGCCTTAGTTAGCCATCTTTTCATTTATCCAAAAATTCAAATTCTCTTGTAGAATCAAACGTATATCAGCGATGGGTCTAGAAAGCTAGTTTTTAGTGCCCTGAATACTTTCCAGTGTAACGAAATATATATATATATATATATATATATATATATATATATATATATATATATATATATATATATATATAGTAAACAAACTACCAATAGTTCTGCATTAGAACATCTCCAACAAACAGGCCACAAAACTATCATCGAGGAGTTTCCTTTACTAAATCACTCCAGGTACCGAGCATTCCAATCAGCAGAGGCTTGAAACAACTGCAGGTCCACTATTATAGCTATCCTTGCTTATTTTGGAACTTATAAATTCATGAAATCTGTATCAATTTAGTTAGTTTATCAGTTTGGAAGTAATAAATTAAATTGATTCAAGTAAATCATTCAATATACCTTTACAGTTTTAATTTGTTTCAGTGAGTGTTTGTGAATATGTAGCTACTTCTGAAATATTCTGAAAGTGACAATGACATCAGCCGGAAATCTACTAATAATGGTAATTAGGACAAGGTAATAAACATGGTTTTTGTGTTCTAGCTGAAGATAATTTTGTAATTAGTCCTCACCCTCTTTTTCATTTGAGTTTTTCCGTTCCGAGTAGACCTTAGGGTTTCATGCTTTAGAAGTCTCAGAGGCATTGTTTCCCACACTCCCACCGATCCATATATATTTCAGTTTAACTATCAAGTAGCGGAATAATGAAAGTTTAGGAGTCACTCAATCGGGAATTGAACCACAGACAATAAGTGTGGTTGGAGGGCATTAAACTGCTGAACAACCAACGCATAATGTTCACCTTTTTTAGAACCAGAATTCACTGTTGAGACAATTTTAACTGAACTGTTTGGCTCAAGAGCTTATGCTTTTTAGGCATCCTCAGTTATAAGCATGTCATTAAAGGACATCCAGACATTAAGAAAATAGAATAAGGATTGAGCAAAGCATACTCATTTCGATAACGTCCTCGTCAGGGTATACAGTTGTACATATATATAACATTTAGGAATGATCACTGCAACAACATGGATGCTTTTTAAGTTATTTCGAACTGTTACTATAAATGAAATTAGAGTTTAAAAAATATCCGTAAGTGATAAGAAGCATAAAAACGATGTAATACTTAATTGACCATCAGGAAATCATTTATTCGAACACAAAAGATGGCCAAGATAAAAAAGCGCCAGAATGAGGTTCTTCTGGACATAAAGTTTGGCTGCTTAACGTGGATTCAAACAGCTTAAGCTATATGTAAAATACGCGTATATGTTTGCGTTGGTGACACAGTGGTTAGGACGCTCGCCAACCATACGCATGGTTCGTGGTTCGATCCCCGATCGACTCCCTCCTTCACCTAGCTAAGCCAGAGATAAAGCTGGTGAAGAGGAGGGTATGAGGTTAGCAATACCATCCTGTAAAATTGAACACTGCTACAGAAACTTCAAGTCACTAGCTTGAGGCACTATGTTCCATTGAGAACGTGAAGGAATAAAAGCGTATACATAGGACAAAGTTAAGATAGACAGAATACGGTAGATAGCTTTGAAATCCCCGTTAAAATCGATTTAGTTTTTAGTATCTAGACGATGAGCTAGAATAGAGCTGAGAGTAGATCTTTGTCTGTTTCTCGTTAAGACACAGTGGATAACATTCATAAATCTGACAATAAAAGTGATTAGCTGTACCTCAGCCTCCATGTAACTGACTCCATAGGGGTGGTTAAACAAACAGAAACACATCGAGGAGGCAAAATTGAATAGTTTATCCCTTAACCCCTGAAGGTATCGGGCTGATTTCGTACAAAAGACGGTGGTACAGAATTGATAGACAGTTAGACAAGAACGGTTCTAGCGCAACTGACCACTTATAATCATCTGATTATGGTGTCATATAGACTTTCTAACATGACTTATATATATTTATAATCATTACTATTTCCTTTTTCCTTCTATCACTTACATTGTGTGTTGATGTCACGAGCAAAGATTTAACCGTCAATATTATCAGTAGCAGTAATTTCTGGATATTAAATATGTATATGCACGTATAAATTTAGAGCCATGCCAGTGAGTTATTGAAAAGAATATTTACTTTTCTTCCGTAAGACACCCACTTTAAATTACAGCCTTTATGGAGTCTCTTTAGGAATAATGATGCAAAACGTGTCAAGTTAGTTTGAAATAAATCCCGGAAAAAGTCAACCGAATGTTAATTTTCTTAAATGACTCTAAACAGCTATAACCGATTACTGCACCGTATTGATGAAATGACAACAATACACTCACAGATAAATGGAAAATCAAATTGTACTTCAAAATGATGAAAGGCGCTTAGTTGGAAAAAAAACATTCATGGTAATTACAAAACTTACATTCATAACGATAGTATGTTTTATCTCTCCGCAGCATCATATTCCAATCAATAGATTCCATATTAAGGCATGATTTAGTCAAATGTTGTAACTGAACATTCCGTCTAAATAAATTATTAGAATAATGATGTTTCAGTGCAGTCCTATTCAACTTTCCTTCATTATTATGATTATTATTATCACCAGATTGATCATTCATAAGAGAACTTGTACTACTAACGCTGCTAATACTACTTGACACCTTTTCAGTAGTTATATAGTTATTTGCCGTTACTAAATCTTTAATGATATTCAATGAATTCAATATTTGAGAATGTTGACGACCAAAGTGTGGATGATTATTCCAGACGAAAGTATTAAACTTTTTATCAGATATATTATATAAATCAATTGATACAAATATTCCACTGCAAAGTAATAATAGAAATAGTATTGAATTCCTCCATAATATCCAATTTTCATAATGTTGACGATAAAATAAATTGCCTTCTGTTAAATCTTCTGATAGTTGTATACTACCACCAGTCATTTTATATATATTCAATCGATTTTAATTTGATTTCATCGCAATACCATTAACATCATCAGCTGGAACGTTTCACTGTTCAGTTTACGTTTTGTTTTTCGGGGTATTTTCATTTTCTTTTCACATATTTTAATGTTTAATATTCAATGCCCATATATATATTTTACATTTGTTTAAATTTGAATTTAACAAAGGCGCTGTTTTCGAAATTGTGTATTCTTTTTATTCAAAATACTGATTTGTAAGATAGTGATTATTTCTTGAAAATAAACTAATTATTTATTACTCATATCAGTTACTCACATGAAAACGTTTCTTATCTTGTGAAATACGTAAAAAATATCAGCTGACTAATTATTACTGATTCTGAGGATTACATTTTACCCAATGGTCATTACTCTAGTTTGCTTTACTATTGGTCGGTTATTGTTAACCAATCAGAATAATATTAGTAAAATATAACTTTATTGCAAACAGAACTTTTGATACAAAATGGAATTTTCAGCACACAACACAATACTGCACCTGATTTTCTCTCTTCAGTACACATAGTAGAGGAGAAAATAATTAACAATACACCTACACTGATAATAATGTTGATAAAGACTATGAGTGAGAAATTAAAAATGAAAGTTAATAGCAGTATTAAAAAAAGTATATTAGTAGGGTGAAAGAATAAGAAGGACGGATTACTTTATGTCTATTCCGTGAAGTTGTTGGTGTCGCGATGGGAAGCCTCTTGAGGCCACTTTTTGCAGACTTATTCTTGTCAGGCCTACGAGCTGGTACCTTGCAGCAACATATACAAGAAATGGATGTATGCCTGAAATATGTTGATCACATTTTTATTGTCTGTTGAAGCAGATCAAAAACTGAAGGCATGCTGATAAAATTCAGCTCATGCCACCTGAATCTCAGTTTTACATTAGAACACGAAGAAAATGATACTGTTAAATTCATAGACTTTTTTCCAGTGGAAAGGACTGATGGGACAATCCAAAGATCTATATATATGAAAAGTCATCACGGAGAGGACAGTACATACATTTCAAAAGATTTTTACCAATCCAGTATAAAAAGAACTTAGCCAGAACATTGTTCAATAGAGCACGAAAAATTGAGATGATATACAAGTAGCCAAACGAAGACTTGACCAAGCTATTAAGAGAACTTATTGTGCTGCAAACGTGCTTCCCTTAACACCAACAAATGAGTGTTTCAACAATCTTGAAAAGACCAGTCGTCAATCCTAGATACTTCAAACTACGTATATCAATTTGAGTGTTTTTGTAAAAGCAAACAGACGGGTCATACAGAAAGGCGATTGTCTATTAGCATGATGAAGCTTTGCCAAAAAAGTTGAAAACAGCTGAATGCAAAGTGCTAAAAATCTTGACAAAAAAAATCTTTCGGACTATGGATATGATATCGACGCTGTCTAGTCATTCACTTTTGTCGGCAGTCAAAGAAACAGGGGAATGCTTCTAATTGCAGAGGGTTGTACAACTGGAGTTTATAAACTAGGTCCCTATGTACAAAAGGAAATGGTTGTCACTTTGAATCTATCATGGTAATAAGTCTTACTTATTATTCTACCTCTTATTAATAATTAGTATTCTTGATTCATTTAAAATTATCGTTTATCATTATTATTGTTATCACTATTATTTTGATAGACATTATTATTACTGACTAATTGTTTATCTAAGTGATGCAATTGAAGCGTAATGCAATTTACCTTAATTTTAATCTCTTATATCCCCTCTCCCTTTATCTATTTGAGCATTACCTGGAAAACATTCGCACCTGTCTTTCTGCATGACTAATTCAATGTAGTTTATTTGCTTATCAGTCTCATATATTTCCCAATGTAATTTCAAAAGTATATATATATCCGTATATGTAGAGTATTCAGGTGACAAGTTCTATCGAAATTTGATTTCATTGAATTACGCTTTACTAAACTTCGTTGTTTTTTTTAATAAATTAGTGGTTTCATACCTAATAATTTACTCAGATTTCAGTCCCCTCTGCAGTGTACTAATGTGTTTCTAATGAGGACAATAACATTTTAAAGCATTCATGAGAAATTTAACAATAATTAAAATCAACGAAAGACAGTTGAAGCTTCTGAAATTACCATATTGAGTGACTTTTCTAATTGACTGTCGTTATCAACTGAATACTCAGTTGGTTTGTTATTTTAGACGCAAATTTTATAAAGATAAATGTATGCAATAAAATTATGAATGTATTCACTCAGTCACCTGAATAAAGTGCTAAGTATCGTCGGTGGCATAGCGGTTAGGACGCCCGTTGACCATGCACATGGTCCGGGGTTCTATCCCTGGCTGACGCACTCCTTTACCTCAATAAGCCAGCAATAAGACTGGTGAAGAGGTAAGGTTGGGCATGAGGCCAGCAACATTATCCTGTAAAAATAAACACTGTTACAGAAACTTCAAGCCTTCCAGCTTGAAGCCCTATGTTCCACTTGGAATTTGAAGAAAAAATGACGGTATTTCTGACTGGAAGAGAAATAATTTAAAGATTGATACATGCCTTTTCTGACATGTTCTTCAAAAAAGTATGAAAATCAATGAATATATGAATTGTAAGTAACTGATAAGGGGATCAAGCATTCAGAAAATGTCACTGAGTTCTTTGACACATCCGCAAACGAAGGATAAACTTGATAGTTTTGCTAAATCTATGTGTATTTATCAGTTCAGCTGCACCTGCGGTGACAATTATGTTAGGTATACTTCTAGACAGCTTGGCCAACGTGTTACTGAACATCTTGTATCGTGGTTTGGCAAAAGACAGACAAAAACAATCCGTAGCTCAACTTGGTCGCATTTATTTGATAGTGGTCATGTAGTGGAGAAAACGAGAGCTTTCAATATAATTCATCGTATCCCACCGAATCTTCCTAACAGACTTAGTATTCGCCTACTGCACACTTCTGAGGCGATAGGCATTCGAACTATTAAACGTAAACTATGCATTCAAAAGAAGTTCTTACAGCCATTATTCCTCCCTTGGCCTATTAAGACATAACCAACCAAAGACATCTACTCCACCTCTTATTTATATTTTCAACCACTTTCTTATCATCCCTTAGTCGTATCACATCATTAGAAACGTGTTTCATTTCCTCCCCTTACAATTTAACATTACTTAATCGGTTCATTTGTTTTTGCTAGCCTTTATCGACTACTTCCACCTGAACAATTGTTTGTTTAATCATACTGTTTTTCATTATTCGCGTAATCACAGATTGCCTCACTTTTTCATCCTTATTATTGATAAGACCATTATTATTATTATTACTATAATCAATATTATCATTACTACTATGATGACTAATTGCACAATTTATATTCACCATCGTATTATCCTATAGACAAAACACCATGATGACTGGTTTATGTCTGAATTTTTATTTGTAAACTTATATATATTCGAGTTACACCTGATGAGATCTAATTGAAAACAATATTGTTCGCTTAAATGTGATGTTCTAAACTTATAGAATTGGCAGAACAAAAAGAAGGCCACATTTCCAATTTTTTTCTAAACCTTTACATTAGTGCCATTTCCAGATAATTCATAGATACCGCTCACCAGGTGAACACGATGACATCTTCAAAAATTGTCAACAAACAGATTTGTTTAATTCTTCTCATGTGTACTGATACACTTACAACCAGACGCCTGAAACCCGACTTTTGTGTTCATGAGGAAAGCAACTGTCAGTTTTTCCTTGTCCTGTTGACTAGATGTCACAACTTTTTTTTTATTTGATTGTGTAATCTTTGACTTTAACTCAATCCTTTCCAACGACAACATAGTTTTATTTGCCCTTTTTATTTTTATGATTTGGATGAAAGCCATCGCATTGTTACTCAATTTATTAGTGACTTATCACCCTATCCACTAGGCGATTTTATTAGGCATTTCTTCTGCCAATGTATTCAGGTATTCACTTTTTTTGTTTGAAATGAAACCTTCGGTGTATAAGCTATATAGGTGTAATCAATGAGGACTGTTTACTACGTCTGGAGTCTCTTGTTGACTGATATGTCATATTTGCACGTACGTTAAAATTATTCTGTACATGAACATAATCAGTGGTCATTTAATTTAATTTAGATTTTCCCATCGATTGATTGAACCGAAGTGCTCGGTCTACAGTTGACATATCGGCTTCTTGTGCAGATGGTTTGATGATGTCTCAACAAGTAATTAGAATTTAATTGGTGAATAGTGATTAGCAGGGAATCAACGATGCGCATTTCGTCCTATTTGTGACCCGTCATCTGGATGTACCTGCATTCTCCAGTGGATGACGACGTTCTCACCGAGGTTTTAACTCAGTCCCTATAGTTTCAGACGCCAAAGCGTTATACACTATACCACCTTGGCCACGAGGGACAACTCTTGTGCAACGCATCATATTCATTATTTAACATGATCCCGCTGCACAAAGGGTGGCTGTTGTGGCTCAGGTGGTCTAGCAGATAACGCTTTGGCGTTTGAAACTATGGGCACTAGGTTCGAACATCGTCATCCAATGGGGAATGCTGGTACATCCATATGACGAATCTCAGATAGGACAAAATGCGCATCGTGGATTCCACTACTAGTCACCATCCAACAATCAACGATCTCTTTAGGTTGTGCGTGACTTGTAAGAAGCTAATGAAAAAAATGATGGTGCTATCGTTGTTTTTGCATTATTCAAATTGCTTGAATATTGGAATTCACTAAGTATCGACTTCAGCATAGAATACGATGAGAGTGGTAATGACCTGAAAAACGAATTTCTTCAAATCCTCTGCTGATAAAACGGAGTTGTTGAAAACTTCACCAAATTAAGAAAAAATCTTGAATTTTCAAATCTTTTAGTAGACATTTGCTAAGTGTTGTTGAGTACTGCTCTCATATACACTTTTTTTATTTCAATTGGATATAGGTGAATGCAATAAAACCTGTTGGTG